CCCACTTTAAAAGAAAAAGAAAAGTAAAAACACCACTATTCTCTGATATTTCCGTTGCGCTTAAGTCTCCTGGTTCTTAAAAGAAAAATTGGTACTTTGAAAATAAATTAATTTTTAAATTTTTATTATTATTCTTTTTGTTCCAGTCTTCCTCCCCTGATATCGGAAAGTCTCTTCTCTTTTCCGTATATATATATATAAAAAGACCGGTGAAGCCTCAGCAGAACCCAGGAAGCGCAGAATCAGGAGAGTCTTTGGCTGGGGCTGGTTCAAGTCCCCGGTTCAATGGGCTGCTGGAAGCCAGGGCTGGGTAATTCTTTCCAGACGTCCTGACTTCTCCTTCCTCGCAGTTGTTGCCTTTCTGCCTCCTCCAACTTAAGGGGGTCTTAACTAGTGAGCTGGTGGGTGTTTTAATAGGGCGGAGGAGGGGGTGAGGGGTGAGGGGAGTGGAGAGGGAGGTGCGCACTGGGGAGCCCGGAGGGCGGGCCGGCGGGAGGCGGGGAGGGGAGAGAGAGATTGGCCATTCAAAGCCCTCTCCGAGCTGGAGGCCGGTTCTAAACGCCAATGAATTCAATTAACTTGATTGCTAACGTGTGCAGAGATGCTGGGCGCTCGCCGGGCCACCACCTGAGGCCCTCCCTCCTCCAGCGGCCGAGCCGGGGGCCACGCTCTGTCGCTTCGTAGGCATCCCCGATTCCGGTCCTGGTCCCAAGGGTCCTCTCTTTGCCATCAGCTCCCCGTCGGGTTTAAGTAATTTGCTTTAAGGCCAAATGGTACCCTTAGGCTAAGGAACCGCGCCCGGGGAGAGCTAGCTGGAGGGTGTGTGTGCGCGCGTGTGTGTGCGTGTGTGTGTGTGTGTGTGAGTGTGTGAGTGTGCGTGTGTGTGTGAGTGTGTGTGCGTGTGAGTGTGTGTGTGAGTGTGTGTGCGTGTGTGTGTGCGTGTGTGCGTGAGTGTGTGTGTGTGTGTGTGTGAGTGTGTGTGTGTGTGTGTGTGAGTGTGTGTGTGAGTGTGTCTGCGCGCGCGCGCCCGGGAGTCTCAAAAAAGTCGGCGACCGGTCCATTCGCTACTAGTTAACTCTTTCTTCGCTCCAGCTCAGGGGTCTCTGAGCTGCTATCAAGTGTCCAAACCCCCCTTACACAGTCGTCTCCGCCTTGGGTGGGCGGGAAAAGTGGAAAAATAATTGTGTGGGGTCTTTTTAACCTGGTCCCCTAACTGGAGAAATACCCGAACAGCGTGCATTATAAATAAAATTTAATAAAATAAAAATAATCCTCCAGAGGACTCGAAAATAGCGCTCCTAAAAAAGCCAGTTCTAAGAGAACGGCTTCAGTGGCTTTTGCTTCTTGAGTGCCTTCTAAGAAGAAGAGGTAAAATACTTATTTTCTCTTCGAGATGTCGTTCTCTCATCTCTCTCCCATTGTCCCGAGGCTGAAAGGAGTTCGTTTTCTCGGTTACTTTTCCCCCCCTTTATTTCTCTTTGGTCCTCGCCAGCAACCCTCCTGATGACTTAAGATGGACAGTAGGTGGCACTGTTTAGGAAAAAATGAGTGTGCGTTTACAAATAACTCCTGTGGCCTTTGGAGATCCCTCTGAAATGACTACCGGGTATAAGAGGTGGGGTTTTTTTCTTTTATTTTCTTTCCAAGGTCCCTCTGAGGTATGGATTCCCGCTTTCGAACTTGATTGAACCTTGAAAACTGGATTCTTGCTCCTGATCACCTATCTTGGACAACAATGACCAAGTCAAAACAGAAAAGTCGAGTCAACAGGGAGCGATGCTTTGAAACACGTCGCTCAGGATGTGGTGCTGGGGAGATGTGATTAGAGGCCAACATGGTATTGCAATACCAGGTGGTCAGCCAACCCAGCCCCCAGCACTACCCGTCTGCGTCCCCCACCGGCCCACCCCAGCCCAACCCCGAGAAGGCTCTTACACCCCTGGGAAGCATTACCTTGGCCTGCTGACTTCACAGGGCTCTGGGGAAACCCACTTAGCAATTTCCCCCTGCAAACCTTCAAGGCTTCATTCAGCCTTTGAACCCTGCCTTAGGTGGTTCAGCTCTTAAGGAACTGGCTTAAATTTCAGAACACAAGCTCATCCCACTTAATCAGATTCTCACTTCTTGATTTTTAGCTTTATAGTCGTTTTTAAATGCTAAATTATGATTTTTAAATATATTATGTAACATATACTCTTACACATCATGTGGATCACACTGATTTAGGGGTAGGGTGGAAGCTGTGGATGTCGAGAGTCCAGTTGTGGGACCCCATGAGGACTTAACCTCAGCTCTAAACTTCCGTGAATATTATATGCAATGCAGGATTGCAGGTTATTACTTGGTTGCATACAACTGTTTCTGTGCTAATAGTTAAGCAATGAGAATGTTTAGTAAAACTGGGTTTCTTTATTAAACAAAAACACATTTGTTGTTTACCCCCTTGTACTTGTAATTCATGGCCCATAAAGTCAAAGTAAAATGTTTTCTGGCTCTGGGTGAATTTAAAAGCTAATTACACATCCATGCATTTCTATCAGTTTTAGTCCCAACCCTCACCCCCTGCCAAAAAAAGACAACAGGGAAGAGGCCAGCACAATTTAAAGCCGGAGGTGAAATACTGCATCTATCACATTTTCTTAGGGAGGCCTGAAATTCAAATCCCACCTTTGATGTGGGATTGTGTGATATGGGCTGTTTGTGTGACCCCCGAAGTTTATTTCATCTCTCTAGACCTTTATTTCCTCCTTGATAAATGAAAAAATACCTGCTTTACAGAGTTGTTATGATAACAGAATGTATTAAATTATGTTAACAAATTAGCACAGTGCCTAAACTCTACACTTAGGTAGGTCTTCCTAATATGACCATTGTGGATATTCAAAAACCTTGAGTAACTTCTTCCTGGCTCCCTGTTCCTTAAATTATTCTTGATAAGCATTAGCTAAGGTTTCATCCTATGAGCTCTTATTTGACCTACTTAAGCTTCCTACAGTCTCCTTACTCATTCTCGTAGATTTATATAGATTTAATTATTCCACGTGCCCATGGATACACTCCAAACCTTCACATGTAACCAAAATGCTTTTCTGAGTCCCAGGCCTGAATTATGACTACTTGCCATCCAGCAGCAAATTAGGAGGCTTGAAATTCAGTTTCATAAACAAACTATGGCACCAAGTTGAATTACATTTGATAAGCAATTTAAATTGTAACTTGTTTCAAACATGAGCTGTTTGGATCAGAAGATGATACATGTTTTTGGTTTTGACATCCTAACACATACCTTATCCAACCTGTAACTGTTATGTTTCAACTATACAAGAGACTGTAGCAAAGAACTTCAGAGGTAGGAATGCTACTTGAGTCAGTGTGTGCTCACTGTATGTTGTTGCTAATCTCCTCCTAACAGCACAAAACAAGGGTTCATATGTCTGATAGACAAAGGATATAGTGCCTTCATACTTCTCTGTATAAGTGGTTCTCAAATTTTTTGGTGTAAAGGACCCCTATACACCCTTAAAAATGATTGAGAACTTCAAAAAACTTGTTTATAAGGGATATGTCAATATTTACCATATTAAAAAATAAAAGCTGACTGAAAAAAATTTAAAATACTTAATTCCATTTGAAATAATAATAAATGCAATGATTTGTCAACTTAATAACATAAATGTTTGAGAAATGTGACATTTCTCATTTTTCCAAATCTCTGTTAGCTGACTTAACAGAAGTTAGCTTACTTTCTATCTGCTGCATCCAATCATTTTGATATATATACAGACATACATACATATATAAATCATCTGGCCTCAAACATATGTAATTGAGAAATGAAGTATTTTAATAGTTTTTTTTAGATATTCTTCTTAGATACTACATCAAAACTTGACAGATAGTAATTTTTAAAGGTAAGTTACAATGTTGAATCTAAACCAATAGGAATGAACTTTATGTACCCTTGCATTAAAATCTTTTGGCCTATCTTACACTTTAAATACACATCTTTTACAATCATTCATAAATTTATAATATATATTGATCATTTGGAAAATATCTGTTCACTGAGTAATGCAGATTTTCCAAATAATAATATATTTCATTACTTCATATTAAAAAATCACAATCATTAAAATCACCACCAATCTCATCCGAAAATGTCTTCAAATACTGGGAAGCTGTCATGGTCATGGGAGCAAATAAAGCTTTTCAAATTTCTAATTTTCTCTTGAAAGCTCAGATAGGCCCTGGCTGGGTAGCTTCAGTTGGTTAGAGCATC